AAGCCTGGCGTTGAACACAGTGAGTAAAGACGTAAGTGGCTAAGACACGCATCTTTAAGTCTTTTGTTGTTGTTGTTAGGCTGAACAGACCTTTCCAACTTCGAGAATGTATAAACCTGAAGTTTATAACAAAAATAACATTTATTGTTAGTAAGTTCTATTTTCCATAAACAAGAATTGAAACAAGTTACATATACAGTATGCTGTAACAGATATATTTTTTAAACAAGAGTTGAATCCAAGTTACATACAAGCATGTTGTAGCAAATTAAGATGACCTCCTGTATAGGTTTTTTTTTTTTTTTTTTTTTTTTTTTAACTATCAACCTATTGTTACAAGTTTCAAACTAGCTTTTTGTTACAGATTTTATGAAGTTCTTTAGACCAATGAATTTACAAATTGTGAGAGAAAGAGGGTTTACAAAACAGTCTTACAAACCTTGAGATTAAGTTTCTACTTTAGCAAAAGTGAGAGGAGAGTATTTAGAGAGTTAAATAAGACCAGGAAAAGGAGTGTGAGATGAGCAGCAGTCATCCCTGGTGGGAAGAGTTTGCTTTGTGGTTGTTTTAAAGTTCTTTGCATCTTTTCCTGGGGGTTTTGTTTTGTTTTCCTTCTCCCTGTTATGAAATCAGGTGGCCCGCCTGACCCAGGACAGAGATTTTATAGGAAACTTTTAAACAACCATGCTTGGGTCTGGAGAGGGAGGGCCATAACCCAACTCCAGAGACATTTTTTTTTTATACAGTAGAACAGAATAAAACAATTTTTAAAATATTATCCATGCCCAAAAGCCATTTGAGTTTCTGCGATTCTGAATCCAGATAGAGGGACTAGAGGAAACAGAGAGCTGGGAAGGCTCAGGGATGAGAGATTTCTGAGAGTGAAGCAGAGAAAGTTGAGATTTGGGATCGTTTGTTTGTGCAGTGGCAGAAGTGGTTACAACCTGGGAGAATTTGGAACTGGAGTGCGCCATGGTTGGCCATGGAGCTGTACTGAGGCCAAGCCATTTGGTGAGGCTTAATGGAACCTCTGAGTCTGAGGAGGAAAGGAGGTTGGAGGGGCAGGTGAGGAGAGCCTGAAGGGGAAGACGTTGGAGACAGAAGTGAGCGGAGAGACAGAGCAAGCAGCAAAGAGAAGCAGAACGAAGCGGATGTGGGAGAGGCTTAGGAAAAAGGGTCACAAAGGAACTCCACCAGAGAGAGGATTCCAATAGAGGGAGAGGAGGAAGTAAGTACCTTCGCAGAGAGGTGTCCTGAATCACAGTGGAGGAGCGTGCAGAGCGATTCCATGTGATGGGGGCCCAGGAGGGAAGAGCAGGTTTCGGGAGACAGAGAGACTGAGAGGACACTTACCAAGTGGGTGAGGAGAGCCTGAAGGGGAAGGGCCTGTGGTTAGAGACACAAGTGAGCTGAGAGAGAGAGAGCAAGCAGCAAAGAAGGAGAGGGAAGAGGTGATGGGAGAGGCTTGGGAAAAGGGCCTCAAACAGAAACTCCACCAGACGGAGGATTCCAATGTCTCAGACGCCCAGGAGGACACAGAGAAGCTGCCCGGGTACCTGAGGAACTTAAACAGCAGATTCCAGTGAGCCGAGGAGAGGTACAGAGACAGAGCAGGGGAGGTGAGGAGAACCAAGTGGCTAGCTGTGGTTAGAGGCAGAGTAAGCTCCAGGTGTGATCTGAGAACGTGTTGGGAGGGACAGCAAGGATGGGAGAGAGAAGAGCAAGTGTCCTGGTGACAAGAATTTCAATCCAGGATGTCCTCAAGCAGACTGAGAGACTTGTCAGAGAGAAACATCCCAAATCACAAAGGCGAGGCATTCCTTTCAATTGGTGGGTGCCCAGAATGGAGAGAGAAGCTGCCCGATATACCACCAGTGTGACTTCCATAGCAGTAGTGAGCTCCAGGAGTTGACAGAGACAGAGCAAGTGACTTCCCGGTGACACTCACCTGAGGACAGAGCAGGTGGAAAAAAAGAAATGTCTGAAGAGACAGACTCTAAATTTTGAAGTCCAATATGGTGGGTGACAGGAACCAGCAGAAACAAATGATCCATACCTTATGAGAGTCAAATCAGCAGCTTGGTTCACTTAGGAGAAGTCCAGCACCTTGGAGAGGGGTCCATTTGTGCCCCTCTGGGTGTTGAGCACCAGATGTATGACGACATGACCACACCATGGTATGGTTAAGGAGAAGGCTCTTATTGTAGATATGAAAGACAGAACAGCCAGAGGATCTGAAAGCGTCCTGAGCAGAGAGAGAAAGAACGAGATTGAACATGGCCAGCAGACTGGACATGGCCGGGGCTGTCTCTGGGGAGGGCAGGGGGCAGAATAGCAGGGGATAGAGGATAGAAAAGACAATGAGGGAAGCAGTATTAGAGCATGGAGGGAGAGAAAGAGCAAGCGAGCGAGTGGGAGAGTATGCTGAGGATAGCAGGGTTATGAGGAGAATGAGTAGCTGTGGGGAGAGGAGCCTGTGAGCTGGAGGGAGTTCAGGGTAGGGAGGAGGTGAGCAGGGCTAAGATGCCAGCATGACTGGAAATGTACAACAGGTACCTGTGATACTGGAAGAGCAGGCCTGACACCACAGGTAGCCATATGTCCCTTCTGCCAAGAGGTAGGGGAGATGGCTCCTTTTGGTAGAGGGGAACCAGCTTCACAAGTTCCTGAGGAAGGCTGGCTTTTATGTAGCCACCAGGAATCCTCCTATAGTTCAGGTTGAGCTCATTTCTGGATATTTGGACTGCCTTGTGTAGTTTCAGAGTTTCCTTTGGACCTAACAACCACCATCATCTTCATCATCATCATCGCTACATGAAATCAGACTTACAGAGTGGGGTGGTTTGAAAGAAAATGGCCCCCATAGGGAGTGGCACTGTTGGGAGGTGTGGCTTTGTTGGAGTGGGTACGGCCTTGTTGGAGGAAGTGTGTCACTGTGGGAGCGGGCTTTGAGGTTTCCTGTGCTCAAGCCACGCCCAGTGATACAGTGCACTTCCCGTTGCCAGTGGATAAAGATATATACCTCTCAGTTCCTTCTCCAGCACCATGTCTGCCTGCATGCTGCCATGTCCCGCCATGATGATAATGAACTAAACTTCTGAAACTGTAAGCCAGCCCCAATGAAATGTCTCCCTTTGTGAGAGTTGCAGCGGTCCTGGTGTTTCTTCATAGCAATAGAAACCCTCACTAAGACGTAAAGGAAGAGCATTATGATCTAGACTACAATTGGATGAATTGGGAGGAAATTATACTAAGTGAGATAAGCTAGGCACAAAAGGGGAGACACAGAGTGACGCCATTTAGATCAGGTCCCTAGTTAGCTAAATTTACAGAGGCAGAAAGTAGAACGGTGGTTTCTGGGGACCAGGAGAGGAGGACTGGCATGCTGCTGTGGTTGTTCAGTTGGGAGAGATGGGAAAGTCTTGGAGGTGGGCAGTGGTGACTGCTGCTGGGTCACCTGAATGTACATAAGGCACTGACTGTGCACGTGAAAGCCCATGAGCATTCATTTTTGTGTATTTTATCTCGGTCCTTCCAAAAGCAGGCGCAGTGGGTGTACAGTGAGAGAAAGAGCAATGGCCACCATTAGAGACAGGGATTATACCAGGACCTACGAAGCCACCTCGGACTCAAATGTTCTGTTTCTTAACCTGATGGTGGATATCTGGGGGTGTAGATTAATAAATAAATTTGCTACACACTTGATATGAGTGGGTAAATTTATAAAGTTCTTAAATGTAAATACAGTAGAGAACTTTTTTAGTAATCTGGAGAAAAACTTAAGTCCTGGGCATAGAGGAGCCAAGTTCAGTGACATTCAAAGCAAGGTCTCGGGAACAAGATGGATCTGTCTTTGCCCACCCTCTTGTCAGACCACTCTGTGAGTGACATCGGTCAGGGCCTTGATGTGGGACAGCACAACCATGTCTGAGGTAGATCAGAGACACTTGACCCTCTCAAAGGCACACGGTTGGGACTAAGCAATGTCCAATCATCTTAGGAACACTAATTGACTGTGCCTTCCGTGTACACACACTTTTGTCAGGAGCGAGAGGGTCAGTGCTTAACTGAAAACTGACGTACACCTCTCCTTGTGGCTGTTAGGTCCAAAGCAGCAGCCCCCAAATGGCCGCGCTGGTGACATTGTCCTGAAGAGGAGGACTTTGGCCAGGTAATCAGAAGGAATGTTACTGGGTAAACAAGCCTAAAGGCAAGTTTCTGTTTACTGGAAAAGTAGATATCATAAGGCGGTTTCTGTTTACGAGAAACTTCCCTTACTTAACCCCAAAGGTCAACAACCTTGGACAAAGACATCTAGCTTCTGGTCAATCCACTTAGCCCATCTCAGCTGACACATAACATCTGCTTGCTCCCCACACCATGGTGCACCTCTCTCTCTCTGCCTCCTGAGAGTTAGACAGCCTTGGCAATTCAATCCCAGATAAACCCCTCTCTCCACCCTTTCATGAAGCAGCCTAGTCCGGCGGTTCTCGCCCTCGCTTGCAGAGCTCTGCCGCTTTGATCAGGTAAGTCAAGCAGCCCCTTCCTCAGCTGTCCCCTGCGGGCAGTCCTGCTGTGTGACGACGGTTCATCTTATTGTCACCTTGACTGGATTTAGAATCACCATGGAAACACAACTTCCGGTGTGTTCATGAAGGCGTTTCTAGGTGCAGTTGGCTGAGGTGGGAAGACTCATGGGAAATGTGCATGGCGCTCTGCCGTGGGCTGGGGTCTCAGACTACATCCAAAGGAGAAAGCTAGCTGAGCCCCAGGGGTTGGGGCTCTCTGCTTCCTGACTACAGACGGCCTCACACTCCTGGTGCCAAGGCTACCCCTCTTGACGGAAGTCCAGGGAAACCCTTTCTCCCTTACGCTGCTGCTTCTGTCAGGGATTTGAACACAACACAGAGGAGTAACTAATCCTGGCTAGTTTAAACACTCCACAACCACTTGAAGAAAACGCTTGCATGACAACAGCAAGCCCGGCTGCTGTGGAAGCCATGACTGCTGCCTCCGGAGGCTTTGTGGCAGTCATCATCGCTCCAGGAAACTCACGTCAACTGTTGGAGACCGGTGGTGGGTGTTGGCTTCTGAGTTCAGGCCTTCTGGTTTTCAAATCTCAAAACAACCTGAAAAAACCCCAAAGTCTCTGGTGTCAGGGAGGGATCCAGGTACAGAGCAATGGGCTAAGACCCCAAGGGTGTGGAAGAACGTGACAGTCTAAGACGCCCAGTCCTTGACTTCCGTGTCCCTCAGAAACCTCAGGGCATTGGCTGGGCCTCCATCTGGGGTGGAAGTCAGTCTCCCTGCATGAGGCCTACCAGGCACACTTTGGAAAGTGCTTAGGCCTGGAAACGGCACAGGTTTTAACACAAACCAGCTCCTCACCACAGTGAGTCTCCTGGTGGGCAGTGGGGTTAGGCTTTCCTGGGGGCAGTAAATGAAACCTCTAAGTTCCCTGGTGACAGAAATCCTTGCCAGACTGGAAAGCTCTGAGCCCTGCAGGCCTCTTCCAGCCCTAAATCCACAAAGGAGCCAAGCAGATGCTGAGCAAGCACTGGCTACCTCACTTGGACCTCCGAGCTGAGAACTCTCCTCCACCTGGGCACCTGGTAGCCAGAGCTGGATTGGAACCCCTTCCTGAATTCCCAGCCCCCTGCCAAGCAGAAGAGGGGAGCTCATGGTGGGAGGCCCAGAGGGACATTCTTCTAGCCCGTCCTCTCCAGCTCAAGTTATTGCCTCCTGACCTTGCCACAACAAAAAAAGGCATCACACTGGGTAGAAGTACCCAAGACAACTCAGGGTCGGAGGCTTCTCTATGGTCACTCCAGTCTGGGATTTCCCTGCCAGGGTGGAGTATTGCAAGCTAAGCCTGGACAGCATGCCTTTCCTGGCAGGGAAAACACACACACACACACACACACACACACACACACAAAAAAAAAAAAAAAAAAAAAAAAAGCTAGGTTTGACTTCCTGGCTGCCATGGGTTTAATGTCTTCTCTCTGACATGTCCCCCTCGCTGTGATGTACTGAAAACTCAGAGCATCAGAAGGGAGCCTTTGGCCTTCCATTGGGGAATTCTTTTCCCCAGGGTGTTCCTGACAGCAGATCCCCATCTCTCCCAGCAAACTGCTCAGCATACAGCGACAGACACTTTGCTGTGGTTAAGTAAAAAGTGCCCAACCTGGTGGCTGTGGCAAAGGCAGGGAGGTCTCACATACAGGGCCTCCCATGAGTGCCCCCTAGAGGAATTTAAGGTGAGCAAGTTTGGCAATAAGATGTTTCTAGAATGGAGAGCGGCGGCCCTCTGTCAACTCTACCCTCTGTGCTGGCAGGAAAGGTAACACAGAATGTCCCCAAAAGCAAACATTCTATCAGCTGCTGTTCATGGACAGAGAAGGATGCTGTCTCTATGGAGAAGGATGCTGTCTTACCTGTCTTTCCGTGGTCTTCAGAGGCACCTTCCACAGCATTTTGATGGAACCCTTAACTGTCAGAGGACAAGCTGGTACCATTTTTAAGGGGCTGCTCCACGTCTGCCTTGACTTTTGAATGCTCACGGGCCAAGTCCACGGAGCCAGTCTGCGGGACAGCCCAGTCTGCCTCCAGCCTCCACAAAACAGTTTGGGCACCATTATCCTCTGCCACCCGCCATACCCCGACACCCACCTGAAAGTGAGGAGTAGAGCAGGTTTGGAAATGCCCTGGGATGGAGACTTCCCGGATGCTTCTCTCCTAGAGGGCAAGCTGTGTGGGTTGTAGGTTTTGTTTTCACGGTGGCTGTTTGGGTGTTCTGTTTTGTTTCCATTTACAATGGGCATACATGTGTTGACGTAACTGGCAGAGATGAAGACTTCATGGGCAATTTTACCAAGGTGGAGTACAGGGAATTCTGCAAAAGTCCCCAGAGGATGCCAGTGCCCAAGTCATGCCAAGGGACAGTGAAAGGGTAGCGCTCCAAACTCAGAACTCACGTCTTAGGGGATTCAGACCTGCCACTCAACCGTGGACCGGACCACTGTCTAAGGGTCCTGCAGAGTGTGTGCTGGCCAGCCTGAGGAACCTGTTAGTGAGCCATTTCTGTCACAGACCTAGGACTGCCAGGAGCATCAAAGCCACTGGGAGCCTCGGCATAGCCATGCATCTGCCCTTCCCCGTGCGAGCATGGGCTGGGTATGGTACCTGTGGCCCCGTGTGTGTTTAGACCCGTGGCCACTGGAATGAGCTTGGTCCCAGCAGCGAGCTCTGTGCTGCAGCAAACTTGCTTTTTCACAAGAGAGGGAACATCAAGACATTCCTTTGTCCTCTCTGGCGAGCATTGTTCCAGTCCTTAAGATCTGAAAAGCTGGTGTCCTTGATGTTGAGGCATGAAGCCGGTGAACAGCTGCAAACGTTTGTCTGCCTGATTCTGCAAAAGCATGAACAGTTGTATAGGTGTATATGTTAGCCCGATTTTATTCATGCTGTGACAAGTGCCACGACCAAAGTAACTTGGGGGAGGAAAGGGCTTACTTCAGGTCACAGTCGATCACGGGGTATGTCAGGGCAGGAACTCAAACAGAAGTGAGAAGCATGAACAATGGAAAACCGCTGTGTGCTGGTGGGCTGGATCCGAGGCTTGTGCTTATCCAACTTTCTTATACAGTTCAAGACCATCTGCCCAGGGCATGGTGCCGCCCACAGTTGGCGGGGCCCTGAGATATCAAGGAACAATCAAGACAGTTGTTGTGGATGCTCCCGCCTTTCGGAGGCAAAGGCAAAGAGATCTCTGTGAGTTGGAGGCCAGCCAGGCTGCACAGTGAGATCCTGTCGCTAGCACAGACGCAGTCAGGACAACCCCACCCTAGATAAGCCCACAGGTGAATCTGACCTGGACACGTCCTCATTTGAGTGAGACCCCATTCTCAGGGGACACTAGGCTGGTCAAGTTGCCAGTTAAAGCTGACTAGCACATGTGTGAAAATATGGAGACATATTAAACACATTTCCCTTATATAAACTATGGTAGATGATTATATATATATATATATATATATATATATATTACTTTAAGTGAGGTACTGTTTCTAAGGCTCTGACCTGCAAACCATAGGATACACTTCATAAATATGCCAGCGACTTTCATTTAATAAAGTGACCTGCACACGTAGTGGAAGCTTCGTCACTGCAGACCTTTGTCATTTGTAGGGGAGACCTCTAAGAGGCCTCTTGGGGCCACTAGCCACATGCATTCATTTGCACTTTGAGTCAAGATTTGAAATTCATTCCATGTTAGGCAAGGGATGGGTATCTGAAAGAGGCGGCCGGAGATGGGTGACACCCCCTGTGGTACACGCACAGCAAGGACTCTACAGGACCCTAGACTGACACCGTTCCCCAAACAAGGAGGTTGCCAACAGAGACATGTTGTCACTGGGGTATGAGCAAAGAATCAAGGGATTTCCTGTCAATTTTACATGTCTGGAGTGTCCTGTGTGGGTGGGGACAGTGGACGTGACCATTTCACTTATGTGTTGCACATGGAGTTATGGGATGT